TAATATTGATTTGACTAGATATTATTGGTTAGAGGATAAATGGTTGAGGAGTTAGTAGGTTAGAAAGAGATTTTTTTTTTTTTTTTTTGGGTGTAAATCACGAGGTGGTTCAGATCTTTTCTCTGTTCGTTTAACGATTTAGGTCCACCCGACTAATTCCGTTCGCTCCGGAAGGTACGAGAACTGGCCCAAAGGGAATCATCACTTGGGTTATCCCGCAATTCTCCCCCACAAAGAGAGCTCATTTGCCACTTGAGCTACCATGTTGAGTTTAGAAAGAGATTAATGATTAGACTGGTATATTGATCGGATTAGAACATCTCCGATAGTTGTAGTTTTTTTAGTTTTGAAGGTGTAACTAGGAAAAAGAAGATCGAAAGGATTGGAAAAAAAAAAAGGAAAAAAAATTGATAAAATAAAATTACAAAAAAAAAAAAAAACAAAGTTTTACGCGCCCGGCTGGGCCGGATATTTGCACCTCACGCGAGGTGCATTTCCTTTTCTTTCTTTCTTGGTGGGTCTCACTATGGAGACAAAAACCCAATTTCTTCTCTCTCATTCGTCTCTCTCATCCCTCTCTCTCCTCTACATAAGCGTTGATTATTCAAAAATAACATCAAAAATCACATTTAGGGATATCCTTAGGAAGTAGAAAATAAACACGACCAAAAAAAGTACTATTCATACTCTCAAATTCTACTTTTAATTATTTCACAAAATATTGATATTAACATTTTCATTGAAACCCATGTAACGTAAATAATTAATCATTAATTATCACGTCAAAGAACAAAAATGAGAGACTAAAAATAAAGAGTGCATCTACTAGATCTCCACGACCGAGAAAATGGAAAAGAAAAGGACAAAGGTAGACAATTGTCTCTATAATTTAGCACGCAATTGACAATAAATATCAGAAATCTGAATGATTGAGTTCCATACACTATTCTTTATTCTTCTTCTTCTTCCTTTATTGCTTTTTTTCTTTTAATGGTTAAATACAATAATTAAATACATTTTCTAAATTTTAATGTGCGTTTACAAATGAAAGAAATGAAAATTAAAAATATATTTATCAAAGAAAACGCAGTCAAATGTGACCCCTTAAAGCTAGGGAAATAAATTATATTAACGATTATGATCCACATTGTAAGATAGATCATTGATATATGTTTAGTTTTAATATGCTAAAAATTTATTTTTAATATATTGAATGTTTATATTTAGGCCTACTTAATGAACTTAAACTATACTAAAAGTGAATTTTTAATATAATAAAAACAAATATGTATATGAGTCGCTCATTTTGTAATATAGTTTATGGTTCACGGTATAATAATTGAGGTGGGGCGAATAATTCCAATTTACATCATATTTTGACAACTGATTATATGTGTACATATCTGACTTGGTAAAACAACGGATAACTGTATGGCAGAACCGTAGACATGCAATTAAGGTTATTTAAACGTGACAGTGAAGTATCATTTCCATTTATTTTGATTTATTATTGATGATAATTAATTTAAAATTATATGGCTGTGAGCCTGTGAGGATGAATAAAATATACGAAAGTGACAATTACTAAATACTAAACCATAGCAAATGATTTGTGATCTAGTGATATGTAGTGACTCTCCCAAATAGAAGGTTATGAGTTTGAATCCGAGCGGGATAGAGTGAATAATACTTTAAAAAAAAAAAACCATCATAGAATGGAGAGGTAATTGATTGATTCCTAAAGTGTAATGGAAAAGCCATATGCACATAGCCCCATATATTAGGTCATCAAACTTATCGAGTTAAACTAAATATTTTATTAATTTTGTTTCATTAATTTTTTATTTGTTATAAACTAATACTCAAAACAATGCTATCAATTACCATATAGTGCAATGGCATTCCGATTACCCATCCAAGTGGATGGTCAAAAGTTTGAACCCCGGTGATGGGGCCATCTGAATAAAGAATTAAAAATATTTCAAAAAAAAAATGCTCAAAATAACACTCAAATGCCCCATATATTAGGCCATCAAACTTATTGAGTTAAACTAAAAATTTTGTTTCATTAATTTTTTTATTTGTTATAAACTAATGCTCAAAACAACGCTCAAAGCAATACAGAGAAAATAAATGAAAAAAGTTTTCATTCATTCAACATTTCTACATATTACAACAATATATATATATATATATATATATATATATATATGTATATATATATATATATATAATATTTGTAACAAAAATTAATAATGATAGACATAAATTTGTTTATTAAATCACGGTGACTCAATGGGCTAATCGATTTTATATCAGATTGGGTGTAAATTACGATGACTCAATGGGTAGGCATAATTCCCAGATTGGGTGTAAATCACGATGACTCAATGGGCTAGTAGGCAGGGCAAGGAATATTATTCCCAGATTGGGCTAGTAGGCAGGGCAAGGAATATATTCCCAGATTGGGTGTAAATCACGATTCCAGATTGGGTGTAAATCACGATGACTCAATGGGCTAGGGGCTAGTAGGCAGGGCAAGGAATATTCCCAGATTGGGTGTAAATCACTATGACTCAAGTGTAAATCACGATGACTCAATGGGCTAGGGGCTAGTAGGCAGGGTAAGGAATATTCCCAGATTGGGTGTAAAATCACTATGAGGGGCTAGTAGGCAGGGTAAGGAATATTCCCAGATTGGGTGTAAAATCACTATGACTCAATGGGCTAGTAGGCAAGGCAAGGAATATTCCCGGGTGTAAATCACGATGACTCAATGGGCTAGTAGGCAGGGCAAGAAATCTGCCCACTTTAGGCATAATTCCCACACTATAGCCGCTGAGGTTCGAACCTTAGTCTCTTACCCCAAATACTGCCCACTAAACCATTGAGCTAAACCTATGCGAGTTGATTATTGATATCCTAATTGTTTGGGTAGGAGCATGGTCGGGGTCAGGGGTAGTTTCGACATTTTTTGTGGCCACCTTCTTAATTTGTAAATGATGGGAAATGATACATAGATTTCTAGGGACTACAATTTTTGCAAAGTGTTCTTATTATATGAGTTAATTTTTAAAATGGTCATCCGACGATGATTTTTTCTAAATTGGTTTTTTGACTTTTAATTTTTGTAAAGTGGTCATCTGATTTTTGAATTTTAAGTCAAAATAGTCATTTGTTAGCTTTCGCGTTAAGTTGGTGTTAAAATGAATGGTAAAAGTGGAAATTTAGGGTTTTTTACTCCAATTTAAAGCAACATGCGATTCCTTTTAGCAATCTGCGCACATATTTCTTCAAATTAGGTTTTTACTCTCCTAAATCTGCAATCAAAATGTGGGATGATCAACTAGAAGGCCATAAATCTTTGACTTGGGAAGTTTGTGGGTGAAGTTGAATATGAACTTTTTTGGACTTCTAGTTGATTATCCCATATTTTGATTACAGATTTAGGAGAGCAAAAACCAAATTTGAAGAAATATGTGCGCAGACTGCTCAAAGGAATCACAAATTGCTTAAATTGGAGTGCAAAACCTAAATTTCCAATTTTACCCTTCATTTTAACACAAACTTAATGGCAAAGCTAACGGAGGACCATTTTGGTTTAAAATTCAAAAGTCGGAAGACCACTTTGGAGAAATTAAAAGTCAAGGGACCGATTTGAGAAAATGTCATAGTTGGGGAACTGTTTTGAAAATTAACTCTTATTAATTGATAAAAGATAAAAATTGAATAAAAATATTGGCCCAAGTTTTAATTTTAATAAATGAATCAAATTATACCATCGATGGATATATGACTTACTAAGTTCGCATGCACTGGAACCAAGTTAGGGTTTTCTCTCTAGGGTTTTGCTAGGGTTTCCTCTCTCTTCTTGATACTCAAGAATTTTCCGGCGAATTCTATTGTTTCCTCCGGTTTCTACACCGGCGTAACGTGACAGAAGGCATGGAGCAGGCAGCAGTGACGCAGGCGGTCGCTGTTTTGGGCCGGCGATGGGCGGACGTAACCCTAGACGATGAGGAAGACGACGTCTTCGTGCCGACGGTGGAGGAGGACGATGAGCAACCTGCCGAAACAGTACGAACATGGCGCCTGGTGGGTAGATTCTTGACTACTAAGCTTGTGAAGGCAGAGTTTATGAGCCATGTCATGGCTTCGGTATGGCAGCCGGTGAAGGGAGTACGAGTCTCGGAGTTGCAATCGGGCCTTTTTCTCTTTGTGTTCTTTCATGAAACGGATATTCAGTTGGTTCTTGATGGTGGTCCATGGTCCTTTGAGAATCACACATTCATTTGCAAGCAAATTCAAGATGGGGCGATACCGGTCTCGGTGCCTTTGAACACGGTTGATATGTGGATACAAGTGCATGACTTGCCGTTGGGCTATACTTCTGATCTTATTTTGGAGCGGGTAGGAAACTTTTTGGGAATTTTTATTAAGATTGATGATAGATTTGCTAATGCACCCTGGAAGACGTTCTACCGGATTAGGGTTTCAATCTCTGTCTTGAAGCAGCTAAAACGGCGTATGAAACTAATGAAGAGGGATAAAACGACTTGTTGGGTTAATTTCAAGTATGAAAGGCTACACAACTTTTGCTACTTCTGTGGTATGATGGGGCATCTACATAAGTATTGCTTAAAGGCGCGAGATGCGGGAGTACCCATTGAACAATATCCATATGATGAAAGTTTACGTGCTGAATTTAGGAAGGGGCCGCGGAAAGTGGGTGCTTCATGGCTTCTTGACATGAATGGTAATCCTATGGCGGGGACACGGACGGATCTTGTGCCTAGGGCACGGGTTGACGGGCAAGAGAGTGGGGCATCTGAGCCTTCACGTGAACAAGGGGAAAGTGATATAGTCACGGCTGCGATTAAGAGGAGAAGGGCCGAGGTGAATGATGGGGGCGATGTGAATGTTGGTGGGGATGTGGTTATGACAGAGATCCAAAAAAACTTGTCCATGGCGGGTTCTGGTTCCCAGACCCGCCCGTCATTATGAGTACCATCAGCTGGAACTGTCGTGGCTTGGGCAATCCACGAACAGTTCGAGAATTAACGGACCTTGCGTCCCAGAAGAAGCCTGATTTTATTTTTCTTATGGAAACCATGGTGCAACGAGTACATGCTGAAAGAATTTGTGTCACTCTTGGTTTTGATGGTCTTTTTTATGTTGATCCGACACCGCAAGGTGGTGGTGGTTTAGCACTACTGTGGCGGAAGAATAATACGGAAAGTCTATTGAGCTACCCCAAAAACCATATTGATATTGAGGTAAATATGTCCAGTTTTTCGAGGTGGAGGATGACATGTTATTATGGCTACTCCCAGCGCCATAGGAGGGCAGAAGCGTGGGAATTGATAAAATCCTTTGCACCCCGGTCCACCTTACCATGGGTTATGATTGGAGATTTTAATGATCTCCTATTTCAACACGAGAAGAGAGGAGTTAATCCTCATCCTAATAGTCTCCTACGCGGCTTTGGGGAGACTATTGATCAATGTGGTTTGACTCAGTTGCCTATGGAGGGTTACCGTTTTACTTGGGAAAAAGGAAAAGGTACGCCAGCTTGTATTGAAGAACGATTGGATAAAGTGTTAGCATCTAATGGTTGGCGCGAGATTGTGCATGGGGCCAGAGTTATTAATAATCTGATGAGGAAATCTGATCATTCTGCGCTGTTTTTGAGTGTCCATGGAACATTCCAAAACGGAGGGGGAGGAAGGAGAGGGTTTCGGTTCGAAATGGCCTGGATATATGATGATGGATGCAGGAATGTGGTGGAAAAGTCATGGGAGGAAGGGAGGAGTGAAGGGATCCAAGACTGTATAGCACACTGTGGGAACCGATTGTCCAGATGGGGCGGAGACCGGTATCATAAGTTTGGTGAAAAGATCAGGCACCTACAAAAATAGCAATTACATCTTAGGGGTCGTACTGATCTGGCATCCTTGAATGAATTCTAACGCCTGGAAGGAATTCTGAGCAATATGGAGATCCAGGAGGATGCTTACTGGAGGCACAGAGCCAAACAACATTGGCTAAAGAATGCAGATGCTAATACAAAATTCTACCACAGGTACGCCTCTCATCGTAAGAAGAAAAATACTATTTATAAACTTATGAATGATAATGGGGATTGGGTGGAAGGAGGTTCTATGAGTACGATTAGCTTGGATTATTTTAGCCAAATCTTTTCCTCTTGTAATCCTGTGAATGATGACAATTTATTTTCTGGAGTATCCCCTGTGTAACCCAGAATCAGAATGAGTCATTATTACGTCCTTTTGAGGTATTTGAAGTTAAAGATGCCCTGTTTGCAATGGCCCCTGACAAAGCTCCTGGACCGGATGGTATGAACCCAGGTTTTTACCAATATTTCTGGGATGTAGTTAGTAACGATATTTCGGCATTTATAGTGAATTGCCTTAATAATCGAGTCTTCCCCTCTGGCCTGAATAATACGGATGTGGTACTCATCCCGAAAAAGAAAACCCCTGAGGTGGTAGCGGATTTTCGCCCGATAGCGTTGAGCAATGTGATCTACAGGATAATGGCTAAGATGATTACGCAGAGAATGAAACCATTAATGGAGAATATAATATCTAGCTCTCAGAGTGCATTTATTCCAGACAGGCTGATTACTGATAATATTCTTGTAGCTGCGGAAGTGGGCCACTACTTGAATAGGAAACAGTGCGGGGCTGTAGGTTGGAGTGCACTCAAACTTGATATGGCCAAAGCCTATGACCGCATGGAATGGCCCTTCCTCCGTGGGATGTTATTAGCTCTGGGCTTCGATAATAGATGGATTGAGTTGCTTATGTTGTGTGTGACTACTGTATCGTATAACTTTATGATAAATGGCTCTCGCAGTTCCTCCATTACGCCTACGCGTGGCCTTCGCCAGGGGGACCCATTATCTCCATATTTGTTTATTATATGTGCGGAGGGGCTTTCAGTGCTATTGCAGCAGGCGCAGAATAGAGGTTTAATACATGGCTGCAGGGTTGCTAGGGGAGCACCGCCGATCTCTCATTTATTTTTTGCAGATGATAGCCTACTATTTTTCAGAGCAAATAGACAGGAAGCATCTGAGATAAAAAAAAAATGTTTACAGTTATATGAGAATTTATCTGGTCAGAAAGTAAATTATCATAAGTCCAATATATGCTACAGCAGGAATACAGGACAGATTGATAAAGATATGGTGGCACAAATACTAGGTGTTAACCAAGCCCCCAACTTTGGGAAATACCTAGGGTTACCCTCAATTGTGGGTAGAAACAAGAAGGCTGCATTTGCATACATAGAAGATAAAATCAAACAGAGGATTTGATCTTGGAACAAGAGGTTGTTATCACAGGCTGGTAAGGAAATTTTGTTGAAAAGTGTGGCTCAGGCAATGCCAACATTTTCAGAGTGTTTTTCTTTTACCCATATCTGTTTGTACAGCTATTGAACGTGTCATGAATCGGTACTGGTGGGGTCGGGTACGGATCGTGGCATTCACTGGAAAGCCTGGGATAAATTGTGTGTCCCAAAGAAACATGGTGGACTGGGGTTTAAAGATTTAAGGGCATTTAATATGGCAATGTTAGGAAAACAGGCATGGAGGCTGCTCACTAACACTGACTCATTGGTAGCCAAGGTTTATAAAGCTAGATATTATCCAAAGGATACTTTCCTAGAGGCAACTATAGGAAATAATCCAAGCTTTTGTTGGCGCAGTATCATGGCGGCTAAGGACCTAGTATGTGGCGGTATAAGAAGGCGAATTGGGAATGAGAATTCTACCTTAATATGGGAGCATCCCTGGCTGCAGGATGAACTGGATCCTATGATTCACACAGAAATGCCACAGTACTTGTCTGGGGCCAGAGTGGAAGGATTAATTGATCAAGATACGGGCACCTGGGATCCGCATATACTAGCTGATATTTTCCAACCGAGTGATATACCCAGAATTCAGAGTATACCAGTTGCCCTTGAGTATGATGATATATGGTATTGGTATGGTGATCCTAATAGATGTTATTCAGTCAAGAGTGGTTACAGGCATATAGTTGGTAATTACGAGAATAATTCTAATGGGATTTTTAATGAATGGCTAGCCCTATGGAAATTAAAAATTCCACCAAAATGGAAGACATTCCTATGGAGAGCTATTTGTGATATCCTTCCTACTACCAACAACTTACTTATAAAGAGAGTGGATGTTAACCCAATGTGTGGCATGTGTGGGAGAGTGAATGAAGATACCATGCATGCATTAGTTTTGTGTGACTATGCACACTCCATTTGGGCTAAATCCAACCTTCCAATCCCCAATATTGTCACAAATATTTTCCATGAATGGTTTAGTGCAATCTTGAATGTTCTAGACTTTGATGGAGTTGTTTATGCAGCTGCAATTTTATACCATCTATGGAGGGCCGGAAACGGAGCGGTATGGGATGCTTGTCTACCAAGGCCAACGAAATTATTAACAATTGCAGCAGCTACAATGAAAGCATGGAAGGATCTCCATCATCGTGCCCCATCACAGCCCCGAGCTGCTGCCCACCATCCTACTGCCGAGCAGCCTCCACCGACGCTGCCGAAACCGCACTGCCTCCGCCGCACGCCAGCTTGCCGGAAGTCACGCATGGCGAGGTGATGACACCCGTCAAATGCTATATGGACGCAAGCTATCATCGAGGAACCAATGCAGCAGCTGTTGGTGAGGTACTCCTCGACGCCAATGGCCGCTACATATATGCTTTCAGCGCCCCATTAATAGGTTACCACTCCCCGCTCATGGCTGAGGCTTTTGCATGCAAGGAAGTATTATCATGGCTTAAAAGGATGAATGAACTATCTATACAGATTCATACGGATTGTCAACTACTGCAGTGCTATTTATTTGGACCACCAGCCACATCACGCTCATATCTAGGTTATGCTATCAATAGTTGCAGAACCTATATTTCTACTTTTACTTACTGCTCAGTAATTTACATTCCTAGATTACAGAATTTATTAGCTCATACTTTAGCTACTACAGCACTTAGTTTCGCTACTGCTATGTACTGGGACAATGTCCCACCAGACTTTATTTTAACTCTTCTATAAATACAACCGCCAGGTTGACTTTCAAAAAAAAAAATTATACCATCAATGACTTGGATACATGCGGTCTAGTATTTGACCTTGACTCAAGTGGTCGGTCCAAGCCTAGTACGATTTTAAATTTTAAGGATATGAACCCTCGTTTATGGAAAGTGTAAGTAGAAGATCCTAAACCAATATTAATATATTATTTTCCTTATTATTTAGGATATTACTTTATATTTTAGTATTACCAACTTATAATTAATTCCTTTAATAGGAGGGATTTACTTTTCATATTCAATCGGAGTCCATAATAGGTTGTTCTAATTGTATAAATATTCTGAAAAGAAGTGTTTAATTGACACTTTATTATATATTTTTAAAATCAATAATAGCTCTTTGTTTTTTGAGTCGTTTAAAAAATGTTATTTTGTTTTCTTCTCGCAAAAAGTTTGAATCCCCAACCCCACAGAGAGGATGAAAATCACCCCATTAAGCATAATTTCTATATTGCCGCTGCCAACCCAACAGACAAGATCAAATGTCGGTGCGTACAACGGATCTGTCAACTTTTAGCATAATCCCACACTGCTGTTGTCGAAATTCGAATCTTAATTTCTTCCCCCAAATACTATCTATTGAATCAGTGAACAAAGCTCATGTGAGCTATTTTGTTTTCTGACCAATTATGTTGGTTAGTTGTCGATTTTTAAGGTTAAAAAATCAATAGCTAAATAAGTAGAGAGTAAAACGTAAAATAAAAAATCAAAGTAGATATAGTATTTTTTGAAATTGAATGGTTAAAATATGTAAGGGGTGGGTGCAAAATTGTCCACCGACGATGAGGGAAGTCAAAGTCACAATATTCTGATATTATAATGATGATTTGTTATTATATAGATAAGGCCATCCACACTTGTGGATATTGTGGGGAGAATTCAGAATTAAATCTTCCCTTCATGAGATAATAGCTAGTGTGGACATGAGATAATTGAAAAATAATCTCCCTGCAAATGTAGGGAGATTGTCAGAAAAAAAAAAAAAAAAAAAAAAAAAAAAAAAAAAAGAGAAAGAAGAAGAAGCAAGGCTGTGCGCGTTCGCGCACAGCCTTGGGCAAAAGCCGGGCGCGTGCACTGCACGCGCCCGGAGGCGCGTCAGGCGCGCCAGTCGGCGCGCCTGACGCGTCTGACTACTTTCTTTTTTTTTTTAATTTTTTTTTTTGTTTTGTTTGTTTTTTTTTTTTTTTTTCTCTCCTCTCCACACTCTCTTTCCTAATCACTCTTACATTATCTCCCCATTCTTCCCAACCAATGTGGATGCTCTAATAGATAATAGATAATAGATATAGCGGTGGTACATGCGTGTCTACACTACCAATCCAAGTGGGTAGTATTGGTATTAGGTACGATGTACGTGCAACCAAAAGGATACGCATCTCCCATATCTATCGTATCTATCCCATCTATTATTGCAATTTCTTTATCTAATTAAACTAAACAAATCTAATGACAGGTAATATGGTGGGTGGGGGAGGGAGGTGACAAAACTTATCTCCATTAATTATGTTTAATCGACTATTAAAATTTTACCCCGTATAAGATACATATGAATTAACATGAGTATAGTTAAAGTTATTATATACTAGATGCTCCAGTTCAATAAGACAATACGAGATTTGCATCGTTTAAAACATTATGTTGATTAACTACTTGTTCAGTCTAGAAGTCTTGTTTTAAGAAATAAAAAATCTAGAATCCAAGTATATAGCTAGCCCATAAACACGTGTTCGACGCAAACATGACCAATTTAACCTATAACATGGTGTTAGTATGTGAAGTCTGAGCATGTGTCAAATTAGATTGTATTCCCTAAAATTAGCCACAAGCACTTTTATGAGAGGTTGTAATTACATGACAAATATTTTTGTTCATAAGAAGCGAAATTTTTTGACTTATCACGGCATCGCTTAGGCGTCATATCGGTGGAGATCAGGGACGGAGCCAAAAATTCAGTTTAGGGTCGAAGAAGTAAGGATATATTTATAAAAAAAATTTCAGTAAAAGCGAAACATTAAAACAAAAGAAATAAATAAATTATCTAAGAAATATAATTGTAAATATTGTTGGATATGGAAGAAAAATAAAACACATCGAAACTTTATAAAAATATTCATAACAAAATATGAAACATAATTAACTTGATAAAATAATTTGAATAGAATGTTATGTGTGTGTGTGTGTGTGTTAAATATTAAAAAAGCTATTAAAAACGTGACTCTAATGAAGACGTAGGGGAGTGACTTTGTTGAAGACGTAGAGCTATTAAAAACGTGACTGTGTTGAAGACGTAGGGGGAGTGACTGTGTTGAAGACGTAGGGGAAGGAGTCAAAAAAACTGTAAAACTATGTTTTATGATGGCAAAAGATTTAAACCATTGGCCTTTACTATTACCAAACATATACTCTAACAACTACTTTAACTCATTTCTTGTTGATATTTAATAGCTTTTTTTATACTAATACTAAAACCTGTACTATATATATATATATATATATATATATATATATATATATATATATATATATATATATACACACACATACAAAGATTATATATGGGGTGGGGTGGGGTGAGAGGATCAGCTGCCCCCTGTCCCCCTTTGGCTCCGTCCTTGGTGGAGATAGGACGCCTGGAGGCTTCGCTTCGCCTGAAAATGGCAAGGCGAGCTCCGGCGTCACCCAGGAGTCCCAGTCGACGCCATGGATGTCGACCTGGCTTCCAAACCCGTAAATCCGGCCCAATTTTTTTTAAATTTTATTTTTAAAAAGGTATGACCTAATAATAATAGAGAAGAGAGAGAAGAAGATACATTTTGCATTTCTCCCCGTCACTATTCAGACCCAGTGCGTCAACCTCCTACAACCATCACACTCGGACCGCTGTTGCCCTCCCAGTCCGTGAGTCGTCCTTCTTTCTTCTTCTTTTCTCGTCTTCTTTCTTCTTCACTTTCTTTGATTTTCTGTAGGCTTCCACTGTTTTTTTTTTTCTTTGATTTTGGGTTATAACTTATAATGATTAATGATATATAATATATTATTATATTAAGTTATTAACTTATTAATAATTTATATTTGTTCATTTTGTTGTTGTTGAATGTTGATTCACTAGAATCACAGGGCAGTGGCCAGGGGCAGTACACTACCAGCCTGCCACTTTTTTTTTTTTTTTTTTTTTTTTTTTTTTTTT